TCACTCAACTCGTATGCTCCCCTCTCTCCCCACTATCAGTCGAACCTTCGCCACTGTCGCGTGAAATATCAAATCTCATTCTTAAAATCCAAATCATCCACTGCCAGCTTGAGCTCCTTCCTACCCACCTAGTTAAAGCATGTCTACCTTCTCTCTCCCCTTTAATTACTGACATAATCACTCCTTCCCTTACCTCTGGTCTCGTCCTCATCCCTCAAACAGGTGCAATAACCCCCTATTCTCAAGGAAACCTGCGTGGCGGATCAAACAAACTTGAATAATTTCCGCTTCAATCTCTAATTAACCAGTTTCTTCCAAGATACGTGAAAAGCGTGTGCAGGCCCCCCCCCCCCCCCCCCCCCCCCCCCCCCAGGAGGTCCACACTCATGCTGATAACAACAATAATCTTTTTGAAAGAATTTCAGTTCTGGTTTGTCCGCTCCTCACAGCGGTACAGATGACCATGGTTAGGTAAGGCCATGGTTAAAAAATCACAAACGATCCTCCTGGTAGCAGCTGGACTCTGGGCTCTTATCCATACTGCATCGTCCTTGGACCATGACTGCCAGCCTTTGACACCCATCTCACCACCACATCCTCCTTGCAGATTATCTTCCATTGGGTATCACTGGGCACATCTCTCCACGCTGGATTAGATCTTTCCGTCTCCGGGCCGTACTCACTTGTCCACTCCAGAACACTTCAAGATCACAGTCCCATCCAGTCTTCACTGGTTGTTCCTCCCAGGGGTGTCTGTCTGGGCCCCCTCCGTATTTATCATCTTACCTTGCTACTTCCCGGCCATATCTTCAGGAAAATAACGCAATCCAATTGCACGCTACGCGGAGTGCCACCCAGCTCTATTTCGTCCACCAAACCCACTTCCACGTCCTCCCCCACTGCCCATTCCGACTGCTTACTGGAAGAGATGGCTGGTTCTCATCCAACTTTTTTACAAACTAAGACAAATGATAAAAACTGAGGTGTCTCTTAGTTGGCTCCAAGGTCCACGTCTGGACAAAACTATCTCCGCTTAGCTGGTTGGACAATCTCCACGTCAGTCCCACGTTAAGAGTGCTGGATGTCATCCTTGACAGCACCTTATCCATTGTGAAGCTCACATTCAACAAGCATCCGACTCGGAACTGCTACTTCCACCTCCGCAATATAACCGCCCTGCCGCCCAGTCACTTACACCCAACGAGCAGCCGCCATCCTCATCCACGCCCTCGGTTTACATCCCGTGACTTGATTATTGCAACTCCGAGTCCTCTCTGGGTGCGTTCCTCACAGAATGCCGCGTGCGTAAGCTCCAACTGGTCAAAACTCAGCCGGCCCGTATCATACCAGGACTCCTCCGATTGAAGTGATATCACTCCGGGTTCCTCCAACAACTCCATGGCTCCCGTTAAATACCGCATAGATTTTGCACAGTGTTGCTCCTCACCTTCAAGGCCTTCCACAACCTCTTGCAACCTCCAGTATCTCTCTGAACTCCTTCACACCTACACTCCCTCTCGTCCCCTCCGTGCTTCCTCTGCCTTACAACTCACTGTACTTCCTGCCCGCGCTGACCGACCATGGGGGGTCAAGGGAGCCTTCAGCGCACTCTGCATTCCCGTCTCTGGAACTGCTCTCCTCAAGAAATCCGCAATAATGGACTCACTCTCAACCTTCAAATCCAGCCTGAAGACACATCGTTTTTAAGACTGTGGGTATTCATAGCTTAAATTCCTAAACTGATTGTTGTTTTTTGAAGTCTTTGTTTGAATTTTGTTTTTTGAAGTCTGTGTATTTACGTGTGATCTTCTGTTGTTGCTGTTTTTTAATATGGCTGCGTGTAAGTTGTCCTTGAAGCTTTGAAAAGGCACCAACCCATAAATAAAAATGCATTATTATTTATTATGTATAGTTATTTATTGATGGGATGAAACAATCTGTCTATGCTAGAACAGATAAAAGACCCAACTTGAGTAAAATAACTGCTGCTTACCTCCAAACACAAGGGCATGTTGGATTAGGTGTTTCACTACTCGGTGAATCAGTCAAAAAGGAAAGTTCGGGAAGGAAGTTGTTATTGCAGGAAAAGCAGGCCGATACGGGACAATGGCTATGAGGAAATACATAAATTAAGACAGTATATAGATCATTATACATCATGCAGATATCCTGGTATAATTGGGATCCATGAGAGGGACTGGAGTCAAGGAGAGATCAGGTGAAAAGGGCAAAAATGTTAGAAGCATACAGGTCAGGACAGAAGAACTTGGGCAAAAAGGCGAGGAAGGTACCAACTTGAGTTTTGATATCATTGGAAAAATGTCTGATCAGCAGAAATAACTTCTTACCAAGCCCTTGCTATGTGGAGGAGGTATTTTAATAGGCTTGCATGTAGCAGGCTGTTGTGTGGTTTAATTAAATGCTAGCTAAATCCATTACAGATGCTCTATTAACCCTATAAGATCAACGTTGGCTTCTTACGACATCAGTATAGTGGTAAGCAAACTTTACTTAAAGGTCCCCCATGTCATGCTTTTCCGGTTATTACCCGTCCCCTGTGTGTTCATGAACAGTGGTGCACATAACTTTTTTGCCCTGGTTCTCAAAGGGGAGCAGCCTGGAGATGTTCCTATC